AGACTCACATTTTGTTGTCACTGACTCCTGAGTGTCTCCTCCGACAGATGATTCAGTGTCTGAAGCTCGGCGCTCTGTCTCGAACCACCGCCAGCACCCAGATGAACGTCCAGAGTTCGCGCTCTCACGCCATCTTCACCATCCACCTGTGCCAAGTGCGAGTCTGCTCTCCCGATAACAACGTACGTATTGTAACACGAGAGAGAGGCCTGTAGCGTCTGCCGGAAAGTCTCCTGCTCATTTTCTATTCCTTCCATTCCAGGATAATGAAACCGATAACCGCCTGGCTAACGACTCCGAGATCGACGAGTTCGAGACGCTGACAGCGAAGTTCCACTTTGTGGACTTGGCAGGTTCTGAGAGGCTGAAGAGAACCGGCGCTACAGGAGACAGAGCTAAAGAGGGAATCTCCATCAACTGTGGGCTGGTGAGGAGGCAGTCGGACCAAACAGTATGAGAGTACTTCAGAAAGTTCTCGGCCTCACCTTCAAACAAGGGGCGTAACTCCCATTTTGGGCAATAACTGGATGCTAGAAAGGTTTTTATCAGTGTCCACAAAAACTCAAATATCTGAAGCAATGCATAGCACTCAACACAGGTGAAAGAAACAACCAAAAGTGGCTTTGACCTGTTGCCCCATGAACCTTATTCACCCGACCTGCACCATCTGACTTCTATCCCTTGCCCAAACTCAAGCCCCACTTGTGTAATCACCGTTTTCAAAGTGATGAAGACGTCATACGTGGTGTTCAAAACTATCACGAGACTACGTTGAAAAATAATGCAACAACAGTCTTTCTCCTGTGACGACATCTGGACCTCTTTTTGAAGTACCCTCGTAAACAACCTGTAGAAATGTTGTGGAGCGTGAGAGACCCCTGCTGTCCAGAAATAGGAATTACACCGTTCAATTCCATCAACTTGTCACAACACAAATACAACTTATTTTCCTTTATGTTGCGTTCATTCCGTTTTCACACAAGTTTCCAGTCGTTTATGTGATCTGTCCTCACATTTCCTCTCATGTGTTTCCTCAGCTCGCTCTGGGAAACGTCATCAGCGCTCTGGGAGACCGAAGCAAACGCTCCACTCATGTGCCTTACAGAGACTCCAAGCTGACCCGGCTGCTGCAGGACTCGCTGGGCGGAAACAGGTTGGTGCAGCTGAATTATTGAACTAATAAACATGTAAATAGGGTCGTATGTGTTTGCCAGTGGATGACAGATAAAGTGTTTTAGTGCTGCATAAGTTGAGATTCCCGCTTTCAAGTAAAACAGGAAAATTTGAACTAGTTGCTCGGTATAAAATTAAGTAAACTCCAAATAGTCTGAATTCTAAAAATGTTTTCTTGCACCTTGTAGGTTAAATTTGCTAATTTCTTCCGATTCCATCAAAAAGATGGCCACCTTGGGGCCACCGCTTTAGCTCACCTGCTTGAGCTGGCGACCCATGTACAGGGGCTATAGTCTGTGATGCAGGAGCCATGGGTTCAGATCCCACTCATGGCCCTTTGCTGCAACCCATTCCCCCACTTTCCTGTCTCTCCTTTGACTGTCCTATCTATCCATTATCAATACACCACTTAATCCTCACTAGGGTCATGGGGGGCTGGAGTCTATCCCAGCTGACTCAGGGTGAGCAGGGGACACCCTGGACAGGTCACCAGTCTATCACAGGGCTACACTTAGAGACAGACAACCAAGCACACTCACATTCACACCTACAGACAATTTAGAATCACCAATTAACCTCAACATGTTTTTGGACTGTGTGGGAAGAAGCCGGAGAACCCGGAGAGAACCCACGCTGCACGGGGAGAACATGCAAATTCCACGCAGAAAGATCCCGGTGCCCCCACCGGGATGCGAGGCAACAGTGCTAACCAACTGCGCCACCTTGCATCCCCTGTCCTATCTAATGAAGGCCAAAAAAGATGGCAACCTTTAACTCTCTGAACACGAAGCAGGTTGTGTGTTTTCTGCTCCTGAAAATCAAAAACAAAAGTTGATTTTCTTTAAATATTTAGTGTACAAAATTGTTTTAAAAACAAGGAATCAATGTCTAAAACATTTTTCCAAGCACCCACAGTCGATCCCAATATTGGATAAATAAATGACGACTCTTCGTACTATTGATAGGTTGCTACTTGCATTTTAAACTTCTTGTCTCCTCTGCGCTCTGTGAAAACACAACCTGCAGTTCAGCCGAGAAGTTCCTGAATTTTTGTCATGTGACTGTTGGTCGAAACCAAGTCATTCATGGGTTTCCAGTTGCGCCAAGTATCACAGAATTCTTGTTTTTTTACAGAATCTGGTTCGAGCACAGAGTTTATTTTTGGCTGTTTTTTTGTAGAATAAATTGATTTTGATTAAATATCATGATTTTAAGCTTAGATTTGGTTCATTTTTCACATTAAGCAGCATGTCACGGGATTCAGAGGATGTAAAAGCTCAATAATGGCATCAAAACATTTGAATATTGTTTCAAACTTCTAGAACCAAAGTCAGAATGTGACCCTATCTGAAGCCTCTTAATATTATCATCCATTAAAACACTTAATAATTCTTGGTGGCTGATCGTTACTCTTCATGTTTCTCCAGTCAAACCGTGATGATCGCCTGCATCAGCCCGTCGGACCGAGACTTCATGGAGACCCTGAACACCTTAAAATACGCCAACCGAGCCCGAAACATCAAGAACAAGGTGATGGTGAACCAGGACAGAGCGAGTCAGCAGATCAGTGCTCTGAGGACGGAGATCGCTCGGCTGCAGATGGAGCTGATGGAGTACAAGACGGTGAGAACGCCGTCAAAGACCGTGGATGGGATAATCATGTAAACGAGTAAGGGAGCGTTTTGTGATGTTGATGCCCTCCGTGATGTGCAGGGGAAGCGGATGGTGGGCGAGGACGGCATGGAGGGCATCAACGATCTGGTCCACGAGAACTCCATGCTGCAGACGGAGAACAACCACCTGAGGGTGAGGGTGAAGGCCATGCAGGAGACCATCGACGCCCAGAGAGCCAGACTCACACACATCCTCAGCGACCAGGCCAACCAGGTGCTGGCCAAAGCAGGTACGGCTGATCCGGAAAGCTTTTTAATGGAGGTCCAGCTTTCATTTAACATCTGGACTCTTAGCTTATATCATCATCAACAGCTGGTTTTGTTGCACATTCTTGGTTATTTATATATTAAAGGGATGTCAACTTGTACTTGTGTGGACTGTTATTATTATATTACTATCATCAGTGCTACGTCTAGTGTTTTATATGTCGTTTCTCAGGCGCAACATTTCAATTTCATGCATAATATTTTATTTTCATGTGCGTAATGTGCAGTATTTGGTTTTAATTTCATTCTTTAGGTGCAATATTTCACTATCATGTGTGACATTACCTCAGTATCATCTTTACTGCCTTATTGTAGCTTGCTTAATTTATTTTAGTATATATATGTGTATATACATATATATATTTTTTTTTTATTGCTTTTCTAATTTTTAGGTGCTGCATTTTCTAGGTTATGTCATTTTTTTTTTTTTTTTTTTTTTACAAGGAATGTCTGGCACAAGAATTAACTTATCTCAACTTTTCTTATCCTAACTAGTCTTATCTCAGCTTATTTTAATGTCTTATCTCATCTTATGGACTAGTGTAATTGTTATAGTATAATTAACTAGCAAAACCATATTCATACTGTGTGCAGCTTGGCAGATTTGAACTCTTTTACCTGCAGTGTTTGGAGGGTTACTATAAATTCCAAAATGCATTTCACTACAGGTGACAAAATACATGCCCTTAAATGTAGTTTTTTATATATTTTATTGTAATTACATGTGGGATTGTGAATAAATGCAGTATCCACTTAGTAATGCTGCCTATAATGGACTGAACTCAGGCCTCACTTTAATGATTAGTCTGGAAAAAAACAAAAGGACCTACATTTTCCTTGAGCTTTTATTTTGAAAAGACTTCAAGTGAAAACCAACAAATAAAATGAAAATAAAACTGCGAATTCACATTTCTGCTGACCAACTAATCCTCTTAAAATTAAAACAACACCATAAAAGGCAATTTCATCAGCAGCAGGAATTGGGTTGAAAGTAAAGAAAATGTTTCTCTGTTTGCAGATCTGTGACATCAAAAGTCAGCTGTTTCACTCATGCATGTTTCTGGAATTCATTTTAATATTTTTGGGGGGTATTTGTAGATACAAAGATGTAATTTCATGTCAGAATTTAAAGGTGGTGTTTCTGCTTCTAGGTGAAGGTAACGAAGAAATCGGGCTCATGATCGAGAATTACATCAAAGAAATCGAGGAGCTCAGGTCTGTGAAGGAAACAGATTTTAATGTGATTCTATTGGATCTCTTTTTATTTCTGTTTATCCGACTCCTGTTTTTTCGGAAGCGCACATCTGTGGATCGTTTTTTTAGATATCTCTGTGCACTCTTGTTTTTTTTTTTCCTCTTATTCTCGGGTCCAGATGTTTTTTTTTTTTATATTTCTTGTTGTTGTTTTTTTTTTCTCAGAGCGAAGCTTCTGGAGAGCGAAGCTGTGAACGAGAACCTGAGGAAGAACCTGTCCCGAGTCTCCACTCGCTCCTCCATGTACGGCGGCCCGGGGTCCTTCCTCGCTCCGGAGAAGGAGGCCAGCGACGTCATCGAGATGGCCAAGAAGGACCTGGAGAAGCTCAAGAGGAAGGAGAGGAAGAAGAAAAAGAGGTATATAAAAAAACTAAATAAAGCTGAATCCAAGTGTTTTCTTACCTGCTTGCATTGTTTCTGAGGAATCAGCGATTCAGATTCTCAACTGAGGAAAAGTTTGTGAATCCTCTGAACCCCAAAAACCCACCAAAATGTTTAAAAGGCATGTTTATCACACAGTTTGTCATAAATACAAACTGAGAAAACAGGAAGAGTCCTTAGATCCTCACGCTGTTCCACTGGGTAACTTAAGATCGTGTTGTTTCATTGAAATCACTTTAATCTACATGTTTCATTTAAATAATTACCAAAAATAGTTGTTTTTTCTTTCGTATGATCCAATTTAGAATTTAGAGTAAAACAGCCTTTTTAGCATCAGTAGCAGCAACAGCAGCTCCAGATATCAGCAGTTTCTATTTGACTCATTCCAATACAACATATCCATCATGTTTTTTATAATAGTGCACCTTTAGAATTACCATAATGGCACCATTTATCAGAGCCAGAAACCGGAAAAACAGAAAGAATCACAAGGTTTTTAACTTTCCAACAGTCCTTGAACTAACACGCATGTGTGACGTGCAGTTCTGTAGGAAAACTAGTCAAATCTGAGCTTAAACAATGATGATGTTTCATAAAAATCACTTTATTCTACATGTGTCATTTGAAAATTAGGTAAACTTTACTTCAGATTTTGTAAAAACCGTTTTTAAAAATACAAAAAAACCCCAAATCTGCCCAACTAAAAAACCACGAGGGATTCAGCTGCGACAAAAACTCAGTGTTCAACACATTTGCCTCTTTGTGAAATGTACGGCGTTCTCACTTTATTATAATGCACGAAAGACAAGTTTTAGTTCATTCTACTTCTAGTCTTGGTTGTTCTTTTTCCATAGAGGTGCAGGACTTCATACTGCAGTGAAAAATGAACAAACAGTGAGTAACTATGTGACAGAAACAAAGACAAAACCAACCGGAGGCTTCTTGGGGTTCAGAGGGTTAAAGTCTGACACACCTGCTTGCATGCATTCAGCGTACAGATTATATTATTACTGCAAAACAAACCGCTTTGAATAAGAACAGCAGTCTCTGTCAGGAAGCAGACGAATGAAAAGTTTGTGTGTTGCCACGGCGATGGTCGCGGTGTGTTGTGGGTAATTATCTCCTGATTCCCCCGGATTAGCACTTTGCACCCTTCTTTAATGGGGCGAGTGCTGGATTTAGACGACGACAAGCCGTGGCTCGCCGCTCAGCCACATCTGTGAACATCTGCAGCTTCTCCACTGTTTGAACGCTCACTTCCTCGCCGCCCCGTCTCACTCTCTCTGTCTCTCTGCTGCCTTTTAAACTCCCTCCCCCGACTTCTGCCGCCTCTCTGCTCCCTTTTTTCCCTCCTCCACGCCTCACCGTCGTCCTCACCCTCCATCCTCTCTTTCTGAAGACTGAGGCGATACGAGGAGAGCCGCCACCCCGAGGTTGCCAGGTTTGCAAATGGGTCACGTTTTAGAATCTAACTGGGACGCCCCCCTCCAGTGTTTTTGTGTGTGCACCGAATAATTCCAATGATTTCAGTTGATTGTTGACCCACGTCTTCCTTCGCAAGCTTCCCAAAAAGTAACCGAAACTAACTTTCTCTGCGCCCACAGGTGGCTTTTTTTACACTCCTGGAGCTCCTCTTTAACCCTTTTTTTACCCCCCTCCCTGCTGCACACTGCAAGATCAGATCTAATTATGAGTAGAGAAATCAGGTTAATCGTCTCATAAGTATTAATCCTTGCAGTGTGTTGCAGCTCTTTCCTCCAGAGTGTTCGTAACGTGGGTGGTGTTAGCCGTCAGTCGTTCAACCTGTTCCGTCCTCGCAATCACAGTGAAATCATTCATTAATCGACACTGATTCCTCTTCATCTGCATGCGACTCTCTAATCCAAATCTAAACGCAGAATTTTATGTTTCTGACGTCGTTTTTTTTTCCTCCCTCAGTGTCGTCAAAGATGAGATTCCGGACAACGATCAGGAGAGAGGCAACGAGGAGGCAGAAGCGGTAGGTGGAGATTCAGCCGTTGGATTGTTCTGTAAAGATCTTCCCTTAGCCCAGTGTGCATTTATTGAATCGTGTCCTCCAGGAGGCCAGCGACCACGACGAAGCCGAGGACGCCGACGGAGAAGAGGAAGAGTTTGACGTGGCTGGAGAGGAAACGTCCGACGAGTCTGACTCTGAGGAGCTGGATGAGAAAGGTGAAATCATCCGCCTTCAAAATAAGTCAATTGTAGATCAAATGTGAGTCTGAAGTTTTTGCGCGTCCCCCCCCGTGCAGAAAACGTCCAGGCCGACCTGGCCAACATCACCTGTGAGATCGCCATCAAGCAGAAGCTGATCGACGAGCTGGAGAACAGCCAGCGGCGGCTTCACACTCTGAAGCAGCAGTACGAGCAGAAGCTGACGATGCTGCACAACAAGATCAGAGACACGCAGCTGGAGAGGGACAAAGTGCTGCACAACATGGGTAAGAAACACAAAACACTGACACTTCCACTGACTGTCTGGAGGGTTCACTTGAAACCTACAACTTCAAAGTAATGCACTGTAAAAAGAAAAATAAAAGAAGAAATTGTCAATAAATAGTAAAATAACAAAAAAAAAGCCATAAAATGAAACCCAATGCATGTAAAGTGCAGTAACAGTAAATCTGAAATCCAAGTTTTGCAACGAAACTGTTCCTGTTGTAGTTTGAAAGTAACATTTCAGTTAAATCTAAACTTGATAAGATTTTCACTCTAAAAAAAAAAATCTGTCAGCAAAATTACCAGGAAAAAAAATCTGCTGAAAAATTGAGAAATACTGTAACAAAAAGTATAGAAATAGTGAAAATAACAGCAAATTTAGGTAAAATAATTCTATTTTAGTTCATTTAAATACAGTTTAGCTGTTTTATTATTAGAAATTTTACAGTAATTTCACAAATTATTATCTCTGTTTCAACAAAACTGTAAAAAATCTAAAATAAGTTAATGATAATAAATACATTGTTAAAAAGATTATAGTTAAAAACTGTTCAAAAGTATTTATTTTTTACATTACGAAGTTCATTATTAAATCCTATTTTTCCACAGGTAATAGTTGTCATTTTAAGTAAATTTGTGCATAATTTAAATTATGTAAAATGTGACAAATAACTAAAATACCATAAATATTATGGCATATTTTCTGTGAAATTAAATAAGAAATCAAATTAAATATAATTTGACATTGTTGGCATAATATTTAAAATGCCTGTTGGGTTGTTAATTTACAGACTTTAATTTAACATTCATATGCAATTAAAAAAAAACAAAAAAACAGATAACAACTTTTAAATTTGAGCCATTTTCCAAAAATGTTGTGCGTGTTGACATTGATAGACTAAGATAAGATCCTGTCAGTGGTGTCTACATTCTCTCTTCTTATGAATTTAGATTTAAACATCCATCTAATACACCATGAAGGTAATTAGCTCCGACTGTTCCGACAGGCTCTGAGAACTTAACAATAATAATAAAACTAATGGAAACTTAATAAAACCCTCATACATCTTCCCTTTCTGCATCTCCAGGCTCAGTGGAGTCGGGCACGGAGGAAAAGGCCAAAAAGATCAAAGCGGAGTACGAGAGGAAGCTGAGCTCCATGAACAAAGAGCTGCAGAAGCTGCAGTCGGCCCAGAAGGAGCACACCCGGCTGCTGAAGAACCAGTCGCAGTACGAGAAGCAGCTCAAGAAGCTGCAGCAGGACGTGACCGAGATGAAGAAGACCAAGGTGCTCGCTCCTTCTGTTTGCATGAACCCACACACTATCTCGTCACACCGATATTAACTTCTGCTGCGTGGTGTTCGTCCACCAGGTGTCGCTGATGCGTCAGATGAAGGAGCAGCAGGAGAGGAACCGGGCCTCGGAGTGCAGGAGGAACCGCGAGATCGCCTCTCTGAAGAAAGACCAGCGCAGAGCCGAGGTAGGAGATGGAAACACTCACAGGGATTTAACTTTCTTTGTTTGTATGGTGTTGATCCACAGAAAGGGAAGATCTAATTTCATGATTCTCTTCTTTCAGCACCAAGTGAAGCAGCTGGAGGCCCAGAAGAGGCAACAGGAGCTGATCCTTCGCAGGAAGAACGAAGAGGTGAAACCCACTCACTGCACTGACTTTGCTACACCTTCCTTTCTACCAAATGTGACTGAATGTCTGTTTTACGTCAGGTGACGGCTCTCAGGCGCCAGGTGAGGCCCGTGTCCGGGAAGGTGACCAGGAGGGTACCTGAACCTCCACAGGAGCCTTCACACCGGGCCGTCCCAGGGAGGCTGCAGTCCTCTGCTGCAAACACTTCCAACGGAGCCAGGTACGACATCTGAGCATGTTTAAAACATTCAAAACCTGAGAGTCCGGACAGTTCTGACGGCATGTCTTCCTCGTCAGGAGCTCCCCGGTGCGGATGGGAAGCATCTACCTCAGCAGGACGGCCAGAGCCAAGTGGCAGTCGCTGGAGAGACGAGTCAGCGACATCATCATGCAGAGGATGACCATCTCCAACATGGAGACGGACATGAACCGACTGCTGAAGGTGACGTGTGGGGAGAAACTGACACAATGGATGAACCTCTAAAACCTGCCAGTGGATTTTAAAAGTAGTTTCAGCTTTAAAAATATAATCAAAATTACACCAGTTTTCCAACGGTCCTTGAACTCCTCATTTGTAGCATATGTCAGGAAAAATGAGCTTAAAATTATGATATTTGTCATTTAAAAATTCACTAAAAATAAACCAGTTGAAGTAATCACATTCTTTAAAAAATAAAATATTCTGTGGTCCTCGAAGCAACCGTAAAGATATCAGTGACTCAGCTGCGACCAACAGTCACGTGACAAGAATTCAGCGATATTTTTGACCCACCTAGGTTGAACTGCAGGCTGTGTTAGGAAACAAGGGTGTTTTGATGCCATTATTAAGCTTTTTAACCTTCTGATTCCACAAGTCTCATTTTAAGAAAATTGCCCAAAATAAAGTGTTTGCTCTAACCAGATTCTATAAAAAGAAGCTGTGCTTCATGTCACAACTATGAATCCATGAGTGACTCAGCTTTGACCACTGATCAGGTAGTTCATGGACTTCTGGGTTGAACTGCAGAGTGGATAGGAGACGAGTATCAAACTAAAAATATAAGCAGCAAAAGAAGACGTGCCGTATGGAGAGTCACCATTTATTTTCCAGTCATGGTAACACTTGTGGGCACTTTGTCTTGTTACAAAAATGTCGTGCCTTATGAGCTGAACGAGGCTGAACTGCAGGCTGTGCATCGACAGAGCTGATAGACAAGAAGGAAACAAATTAAAGATGTAAGCAGTTAGATATCTACAATATGGAGGCACAATTTCAGTTTGTTGTTAAAAAAAAATTCTGACTTTTTAACTGGATTTGGCAAAACTGCACAGAGCAGATAAAAAACTAACAGAAATGTAACTGGTAGGATATCTACCTCATATAGAATCACAATTTTTGTTCAGTACTGACAACAAAAAATGTAGAAAATGTGGAAAAATGTTGATTACATTTTTCTCATATAATCAAATAAACTCCAGTTCAATGGTTCTTATTTAAACTTAATTCTTCACTACACATTATCTTCTGCTTCTGCTTTGCACGACTACAGCTGGTTTTACTTTTAGTCACTTTTATTTTTAAGCTATTCTTATATTTTTATCTTGTTCCTCACTGTGTGTATTTATTGTTGCACCAACCGGCCAGAACAAATTCCTCGTATTGTGCAAACTATACCTGCCAATAAATCTGATTCTGGTAAATTCAACTTTCATCGTATATTTTTTTTATGATTTATGGCGTTATGACTTTGCCATGCTGCACAGATGGTTTTTTTTAATTCTCTCTATGTCTATCCGTGGTTGTGCTGTTTCCATAGAGGAGCAGGACTTTATAATGCAGTGAAAACTTAACAAACGAGTTCAGATGGTAGCTTTCATTTAATTACGTATTACAAACATTTCTCAAATTGAAGCTGTAGTTCTATCTCGTCAAAAGGTAAAACAAACACAAGTCCAGTTAAAATCCATTCCAAACCAACAAATCTTCCTTCGTCTCTTCCTCTGCAGCAACGGGAGGATCTGACCCGGCGGAGGGAGCGAGTGTCCAGGAAGAGGGAGAAGATGGCGGTGGACGGAGCCGACGCCGACCGCTCGCTGGCCTCCCTGAACGAGGAGCTGGAGTCCCTGAGTGCCAACATCGACTACATCAACGACAGCATCGCCGACTGCCAGGCCAACATCATGCAGATGGAGGAGGCCAAGGTGGGAGGGAGGCGTCCCGTCAATCCTTCACAACCGCAGCCGACGTTACACTTCATCTGTCACGCTTCAGCTTTTATAGTCCGCTATGCCGTGGCGATGTTGATGGAGGATATTTAGACGCGCAATCATCGCTGCCTCATTAGCAAGCGCAGGCCCGCGTTAGGGCTGCAACCCTCCGGCAATCAATCCTGGAAATAATTGCACAGTTCAGCACCGCTGACGGTCTCCGAGCGTTTTGGGTGCCACTTTGACAAACAAGCGTCCGGCCCCTTATTTGTCAGAACAACAATGACTCCATTAAAAAAACAACACAACACCCGGTGGCAGCCCATTAATCCAGCAGCCTAATGATGCAGGAACTTTACAAACGTGATATTAGAGGAACAAGTTTGTTCACTCTGCAGGTCTCTCATGATCCTCCTTACGTTGCTGTTACTGTTAAAACAGTTTCTGGGAGAAGCTGCAGAAGTCGTATCTGAAGCCCGTTGGTCCACGTGGCTCCCAAAATCCTCGTCATGTGAGCTCAACCGTGCAATTATTTCTCCGTCGTGAGCCTGCAGACGCTAATGAGGTGGTAACCCTCCGTGTATGTCAAGGCCTCCCAACTGGTGGCAATTTAGTTTTCACTGCTGCAGATGACATCTGACGAGTCGACATGTCAGTTGAAGATGTCGGTGAAGCTATTTTTGACCTGTTACAGTAAATGTTTTACACGTGGAAGTTAGTTTTCAGTGCTAGAAATGTCATATCGACGTGTCAAAAGGTTTAAATTCAAGGTCTTTATTTGCCATTTGTGCACAAACAGACGAGTCGAGGCACGTTGGAGTTCTTGGAGTCGAGTAAAAACACTTAACACCGCTCTACAAGAGTAATGAAATGTTAATGTACGATATCACTGAAACTATATTGATCTGTTGATTATCTTTAGTTTGATTAAAGGCATCGAGAACTCCTTTTATTTACTATTACAGACAACTAACAAGGATTTAATCAATAGTTCTGTTTCCAAACTACTTCACACATGTTGCTCTAATTAGCACATTCATCACATGTGTATAGTTTCTGTGTTTTTAGGTGGATTTAGTTCACTTTGTGACCAGATGCTGCCTGTTTCTAGTCTTTGTTACACTGGATTTGGCAAATATATGTGCAAACTGTGGCTGTGTGCTCTTATAAATCCAGTCTAAAACATTCATATGAAAACACACATGTCTAAATATATAAAGCTGAGTTTCCTGAACGTGTTGTTCTTGCAGGAGGAAGGAGACACTGTGGACGTCACCGCTGTGATCAGTTCCTGCAACCTGTCAGAGGCTCGATTCCTCCTGGACCATTTCATGAC